TATAATAAAATATTTTAATAATTACATATTGAGAAAATCATTAGAAGTATCATTTAATAATAATGTTATAAAATAAAATTTTAGTAACAAAATCATTATTTCACAGTAAAACTGTTTTAAATTAATTGACATATTGCTAATTTTAAACATTGAAGTGTTTTAGATTTGATTTATCTTAAGTCATAATGTAGTATCTGAGAATACATAATTCAATTTATTACATATATCAGTATTAGCTGCAAACTATTTTCTTATAGGTGATAGAAATTTGAAAAGTTGAGAAATTTTAGTAGTGTGCAGGACAGGATCATCAAAAACTTGGTATAGGACTCAGGATAGTGAGGCCTTTTATAGAGAGATTAGATTTTTTGGTAAATCCGGGGACACATGTCAATCATCACTTTTTATGGTACACAGTAAGCCTATATGTATAAGTATTGTCAAATGAGTACTGTATGTACAGTACATGTACAGTATACATACAGATGACCAGTGGCGTGCCGTCATTAGAAGCGGTGGAAGCGCCGCTTCCCTTGTATTTTATAAAAAATAAATACATATTAATTTTAATTATATGAAAATAATCGCACAATATTTTATTATAACCGCATTATCTATCTTATTACAAATTTCTATACTACACGTGAAAAAAAAGAACTAAGATTGCTATTGTATATTCGAATATTAGTGGCGGAGTGGAATCTCTGTATTGTCAGATTCCAAAAAGCCAGATTTGCGCACGCGCTTTACAGAGCACCAACCTCATCCGATTTAGCCGGTGGAAGCCTACGACCTTGGGTTGATGCTACACATACTCGTATAACGCTTCCAATTCTATACGGGACCGGTTCTGGGCTGTTAGCCGCCCGCCCGCTAGATATTTGGCCGATTACGTGAATAACGAGTAGATTTATAACTTACCAGTAAATTTTTATCGGTTGGGTTATGTTTTTACGATAGTTCTGTATAGTTGACAGTAGTTTAAAAAATCCATTAAAATATTTGATATATTTATTCCGCTTTCCGATTTTATATTACTCACGGATTTCAATGTTGAACCAGATATTACGATTTCGTATATCCCATCTTTAAGGGGATGTATAAAAAGACGTGTACAATTCTTGTATAATGTTAAAAAATTAACCGTTACTTCGACAGCGTCATTTACAACTAAATTTAATGAATGAGAGAAATGCACGAGGAACAGAAAAAGCTCTAGAATTTATTTTCCTTAAATATACGATTTATATATCCGTTTGTCATAAAAATTTGTCTTTCCACTTTTTTCCCAAGACTACAAATACTCGAGTACAAAGTACAGTAACTGGCAGTTTATTGTAAGTTATTTGTATTGGTTCGCTGTTTTAAAGTTAGAAATTCGGATTACTCGAATTTATAACGTTAAAATCGTTCCTTTGTCTCAAATATCTGTTTGAGTCAGACAAATTACTTTCGCTTTTTCCTTTTCAATAAACTGAATTTTCAAAAGGAAAATTATTCACTTTNCACCCCATGGACAATTGTAAACCAATTGCTTGATGCTGGGCTGAAATCTCGGACTCACATGCAACGTGTTCCCTTAACCAGATTTCATCGCCAACAACGGCTAATGTGGTGTGCTGCTAGACATAATTGGACACTGAATAGCATACAATTGTGTTTAGTGATGAATCCCGATTCTGTTTAGGCCAATGTGATAGTCGGCAGCATGTCCGCCAGCTTGCTGGAGAAAGAGCCCACCCTGCTGTGATTTCAGAATGCCACTCATGTCCAACTCCTGGTGTCATGGTTTGGGGGGCAATCAATTACGACAGCAGGTTGTGTGAAGGCACAATGATCGCCCACCAGTATGTGGACAGGGTGATCCATCCAGTAGTCATACCTTTCATGAACACTACCCAAAACGTTATCTTCCAATGCCCGTCCTCATGTTGCTGTCATCACATGACAGGCCTTGCAAAGTGTCACAATCATGATTTTGCCTGCCCAGTCTCCAGATTTATCAGGCATGGAGACATTCAAGCACTTATTGTTTCAATGCCTGCAAGGATCCAAGAGTGTATCCAAGCTCAAGGTGGCCATACCTCTTACAGAAACATGTACCAAAAAGCGATAAAACGCAAAATTTTATCGCTGTTTGGTACATTTCATTTTGTGTTCATTTCTTCTGGGTATGCCCCTGTACATGTTTACCAAGTTTCGTGAATTTCTATCAATTCCATCTGGGTGTAACACTTTCAATTTCCGCCAGTGTATAATGTGAACTATTGTAAAGGTTAAAAAATTGCTTTTTAATATTCTGATTGTTAACTGACAACAATTACTTTAAGACAGACAAACGTAGCACCAGAAAGACTAATCGTTTTAATATTGAAATACAGTAATTCATGAGTGGAGTAAAGATACAAATTATAATTTCTAGATTATAATTCATATCTGTAAAAATATAAATTATGAAAAAATGTGTTATAATTTTCTGATACACTCACCTGATTGCCATATATGAAATAATTGTTATTACCAAAAGGTATATAACTTTGAATAAATCCTCTTTGAAAACCTGTAAAGAAATATTTCATAATTAATGTTTCTTGTTTATAATATTTTTATAATACAGTATACCTATTTGTGTTAATGTTACAATAAATTATAATTGATCGATCTGCGAGTCTTGTAAAAACATCTAGGAAAAAACTTTAGTAACAGCAAATAAATTCTTGCAAAAGGCTAAAACATCAGTATTTTTCTCTTTAATATGTGGCAATTTCAAGACTTATACAAGTGTATCTTAAATTTCCGAATTTATCAACAGTTGGTTATAGGCTATATAAACGTAATCGCAGGCAGATAGTACACGTTCGCAGTACAAAAATTATGTCTTTTGTTTGTTTTTTTTTGTAGTCTACGATAAGGCAATATATGTACCGTGGTATCATAATTATTATAACGGCCAGATTAACAAACGATAAAACAGAAATGGGCAACCATGCCAGGTACCTTTTTTATTATTCTCGACACTGATACAGCCAGACAGTTTAAAACAAATACTGGCTATTTGTGCAATTTATAACAAATATTTAATAAATAAATACAAATTTTTTTCAGTAACATTTTGATAAATCTCTAAGTTTATGTATATTTATCTGTAGATCTGTTCCTAGAACACTGAAAGATAATTACAAAATTTACAGTNCCGGCGATTGTTCGAATGTATAATAATATAACAAAATATTCGATCTTTCACCGACGTATTTTGTATGTGTCGATATTCACCGGAGAATATCGACATTCTCTAATTTCGGTCTTTCACAGTAACTTATATATATATATATATAACAACACTCAAAGCCCGATTATTATATACAGTATACTACATTGCCAAACGATCGCCTTAATATCGGGCTATTACATGGCTAATTAAATGATTAGAATAAAGTAATTTGTCACTAGAGGTAGGCGTTAGGCGCCATCTCTTAAGTAAATTAATAATTAAAATTAAATAAATAAATTATTAAATTAATTTTAGAACCTTCTGGAATAAAAGAACTGGCCCGGGACGGGGCTTGAACCCGCAACCTCCGCTTGCTAGTTACGCCACCAGGAACCCGAGCTAGTCTTCGCTTCCAGAGGTATATTAGATTAGATATAACCTTACTTGGTTAAATACATCACTGACTGGGGACGACTTCATCGCCCACGACCCCAATGGCACCCAATTCAAATAAATTATATTTCTCGGCAAGAATAAGGTGTTAGTTATATGTATAGTGATTTGCTGAGTACTTTATGATATTATCATAAAAATCTTCATTATATAATATGCAATAAATAAAATCTTTACAAAAAAATGTAAAAGAATTTTCATAAATTCTATTAAAGATACAAGAGTATTTAAGATATTGTTTTGAAATTATGTTTTTATTTGTAGAAAAGTGTAAATTAAAATTTACATGGGATATCACATATAGATAATTATCAATCAATCTTATTTAGGAAACTCAAAACTGGATATCTGATTAATATAACTAATTACATTCTAATGTAAATATAAATTGCTTGAACAGGTTCTACCTTACATTTTTTCAAGTAACATTTCAAAACAAATTATGGGAAGTTAAGAGTGAAAAATATCACAGTAAACTTACAGAACTAATTTGTTCATTTAAAATTTAAGAAATATTAACATTTTTTAAACAAAGTTTAATTATGTTACAAAAACTATAAATATTAATTTAACATATTTTTAAAAGTTTTAGCAATATTGTACATTTTAGGATGTTATATTTAAAGTGTATTTAATTAAAATAGACTGGTGATACTTCAAAGCTAACTTAAATACCCGAGTATGAAAGTAATGAGAAAAATTTATATTTTGCAAGTATTTTTGATTGTATTCAATTTGTAGTTTCAGTGTATTTGACTGTGGTGCAAAATTTGTTAAGAGATAATGACTAGTTGTATACAATAAAAATTAATTGAAAATCTAAATTTTTTTCCATTATTTTCTTAGTTTACTCGAATATTTACAGTGAGTCCAAAGTATCACCAAATATATTTATATATATATATTTTTTAATTAAATCAAAAAATTTTAAGTCTTCACACTGTTTAATAAATTAACATAAAATGCTTTTCTTTTAACATTTTGAGTGTCTTTTGCAGTCCAAATAAATTTATAAAGTTGATCTATAGGAAGCATTGCTAAATTTTTCTTTTGTAATTTTGGCATAATATTTAAATATATCAAAGCAAACAAATTTTAATTATAAATATCACTTGTATTTAAGTACATTGCAATTTGTTGTACATGCAAAGTATTCAATGAAAAGTTTTTCTGTAGCACATATAAAGAATTCATATGCATTCAAATTAAATAATGATCTTTTTTTTTACTTATTTACACAAATAATATTCTGTTTCCATTTCTAAAAAAACTGTTCATTTTGAGACTGTTTTGTTAGGTGTTGGTAAAAGTACTTCACCATCTGATGACGTCACAGTATCGACAATGGCCTTACAGAAAAAACATTCTCGATGACTTAACAGGTGAAGACTGATACAAGCTCTGTTAGGAAAAATATTAATGATATGAGTTAATATTTTATACTTTTATATTTTTAGTTTAACAATCAATTGTTTATTCATACCTGCAAGATTCATGACCGCATGGTTCAAATAAAGCAGATTTACGATTGGCATAACAAATAGTACACAATTCTTCTTCATTTATTATTTTATCTGCCTGTGCCAGAGAAATTGCATGGTGTCGAGATTGTAACAAATGAATTAATTGCTCAACTTTTCTAATTTCTTCCTCGCTGACTTCATTAACTGCAAAAATAATTACACAAATATATAAATACTTTTTATCAAAAACTAATTAAAGTACATTATCCTTTAAAATTTTTAATAAAACAATAATTTATATATTATTTCATTAAAGAAGCAAAAAAGTAGATGCAACTGAAGACTAATTTAAATTTTAAAAACTAAATTATAAATTTTAATACTGATTATTATTATTGAAACAATTTCATTTTCTTTACTTTTAATTATTTTTGAAGAAATAAATGTAAATGGAACTCACAGTTTCTCAAATTAAAAGGACGCTCTTTGGCACGTTTTCCTACAGAAGCAGTTGCCACTTCACCAAGAAGAAAATCTAAACAGGACGGTTGAAAACTTGGTTCTGCCAGAAGTGCTATGATTGCACATTCACGACTAAATTTTAAAACAGATATCAGATTAAACTGTATAATTAAATAAATAAAATTAATTGCAAATATATTCAAATAGATAATTAATTATGCAATTAAAAAATCATTGCTGCTTTTTCAGCTAACCAAGCCTATTATCTATATATATAAAAATGAATGTATGTGTGTCTGTGTGTGTGTGTGTCCTTCATGCATTACCACACCGTTTATCTGATTGCCGTGAAACTTTGGGAAGTTGTTTAATATACTCCAGTGAAGGTTTGTGGCACAGTACGATTGCCATGAAACTTTGGAAAGTTTTTTAATACCCTCCCGCGAAGTACATTTATCCTACGATAGATGGCGCGCGTTTACACGAGCGTTCGAGCACTGTGTGTTGGATCCATTTCAAATTGTGAAGACCATTTTCCCCTTTCAAAAAATATCTCTGTATATGCATTTGTTATTTATGATATTTGTAATAATTTTTGTTTAATCACTTTATTTCAACTTTTTTTTGCTAATTATGTATTCGCTCGAACTTCGTTAAAACCTTAACTGTACCCCGAACAACAACCGAAGTTGTAGGAAGAAATTTGCGTATTTTACCAATCTAGGTATCCCCCTTTTCCAAATTTTAATATCGATTCAAAATAATTTAAAAAGACAAATTACAATAAAATGGTTTATTATCCAACTATCAGAAATTTCACAACGTGCCAAGGAAGAGAGGAAGGAGCAATTAAATAATTAAAATTATAAAGGATTAAAAAATATATATATAAAATTGGGAAATATCGCGCTTCTGACAATCGCTGCAAGTGTATGGGCTAGATTTGGAGAATCCGCGTTTCTCGCATGGACAACTGTATGTGGCCGGCTCACGCGTGGAAAACCTTCCGATTTATTCGTGTATGCACCAGATGGAAAAACAAAAATATCATGTATCCACAAGCACTCCGATAAATAAATAGAATTGAAACGACACTTTGAAATGTTTTCCCGATGAAAATCAATAATAATAATAAGTTTCAATAAATATGATAAAATGTAAATTGAATTTTATCATAACAAGTTTGCTTGAATTTCCTTTCTTCTTCTTATGCGCGATGAGTAAGCTAGTCATCATATAAATCCGGTTATTCTAGCATTTTTGCAAGATTTTTTTTATTTAAACAAGTCATACGAAATCTTTCCGACGTTCAGGTTATACATGCGGGGTTGTCACAACCTGTCTAACACTGATCACTTTTCAAATATTAATAGACCAGTATTTTTTTTTTTTTTGCCCTGGCAACACGGGCTCATCTGCTAGTAATATATAAATATATATTTTTGCCTATTTAAGCCAATTCTAATTATAGAAATTTTTGCAACAGAACATCAAATGTTATTGAACTGAACCACAGCTTACATTTAACTTAAATCAAAATATATTGATATACAAAATTATTCATTCAAATTTAAATTGTTGTATGATTTTATAACAACTTTTCTGTAACTGGATTGGCCTAAAATGTTTTTACATATAATAAATCATTTGGCAACCTGAAAAAGCAGAGTATAATTCAAATTTTACAATATGGTGTCAAGAATTTTTCAATTTAAAGATAAATTAATTATACATATATTAATTTAAGATCTGCTTAAAGTAAAATTAATACAAAATAATATTCAAGTTAAAAAAAATATGCGAATCATTCAAAATGTTTTCTATATTTTTTATCACAGCAAAAATATTGAGAAAATTGTCTATTTTAGAAAGCTAATATTGAGGAATAACTATTTATGAATGCATTTATATCTTGATGGAAGTAAACAAATTGCTTAAGCACACAGTGGACATTACATTCCTTTTTCTATTAATGTCATATGATTAGAAAAAATCAACTTAACATAATACACAGTAAAAAATTACTGTTATATAAATAGATTGTAAGAAAATAAAAATTACAAAATTAAAACATAGTCAAACTGTTCATTATGAAATATATAAGATGTATGAAATAATAATCTACATTGATTTCTCTAGTTTATTAGATACATCTTTAGTATTCTAGTAGCAGTTGTTGTTGTTATCTTTTTTAAGAACTTAACATCACAAAGAATAAACTGAAAAATAAGAATTAAATTGTTTAATTTAACATCACAAAAAGTAATATGCTTTATTAATTACAATAAAAAAATCAAATATTTAAAGTATTAGCATTGACTAATTCATTGGAATTATAGACATTATGCACCATAATATTTATTAAACTTTAAATTAATATTTGTAATTGTAAACATTGTTTTCTTTAATTTCCTATTAATATTTCAAAGTTTACTTTCTTGTTAAGCCCTCTTATTCCAATGTATGTTCAGTTTCTTGCCAGACAAAGAACTTCATATGAAATACTTTTTTCTTGTAATTCTTCCACAATTTTCATAAAATATACAATGGATATTGTGTATTTTAAATACAATATCCATTGTATTTCTGTAATAACCAAACAACTGTGCAATATCCCATTTTTATTTCTAAATGAAACATTGATGAAATATTAAGAAAAATCAAAAGTTACAAGCACTATAGTAGGTTTTTTTCCCATACCTATTATGGGTTTGTCCAGACCTATAATGGGAGTAGCCATATGGTGAAGAATGGATCTTATGTACCTGGATTGACCACCCAAGAAAAATTTCTGAGGTTTTTAAACTGCTCATATTTGATCCTGTGTCTCTCAGAATGATAAGCTGACACCTTAGTCAATAGGTCCCACTATGCTAGTTAGGCTGTCAACAATCATATTTACCATCTGACCTCAAGTAGAAAAAAATACCTGAATGCTGGATGAGCATAGCTGTTTACTTCCACCATTTATTTATAAACATTATTTTTGTGTATAATATATACATGTTTTTTAACTTTTCATTCAGAAATATAAAGTTAGTTTTATAAGGAGTATATTTATATTTCTTAAGAAGTTATTTCTTGATTAAAGTTTCATAATAATCTGTAAAACTTTTTCATCGGCCTTTCTAAAAGTCTTCCTGAATGATATTATTTAAAAGAATTATATTTCAGTTTTATCTTCATAATATTTAGTTTATAAAAGTAAAAGAACAAAACTTATATAAATAGTTTTACCATATTATATTCCAAATTCATAAAATAATTAAGAAAATTTAATATTTTTGTGCATTTTATAATATGCAAATTTTTTCATAAATTTAAAAATTTAATTACATTTACATTTACATTAATTACTGGATAATATAAAAAAATTTTGTTTATATATACATATTTATAATGGATTAAAATAATTATTAGATGAAACATTGTAGGAATTTGAAAAATTTAATAATACAGTGGAACCTTGGTATACGTCTGCTTTAGAATACGTCCAATTCAGAATACGTCCTGTTTGGACGAAACAAATTTTGCTCGGTATACGACTTTTGTTCGGTATACGACTAAATTCAATTATACGCGCCATCTATGAACGAGTAGCACTATCGGTGTACTACACTAGACTAGACGTTCGCGGTGCTACAGTTTATAACTTTCTTAAATTTCTTCTGATTTTAATTTGTAAGTAACATTTTATTATTTTTATTAATCATGAATTGCAAAAGGGCAACAGAAAAATAAAAAAATGACTAGAATCATAATGAAACTGAAAAAAGAGATTGTTGAGAAATATAAAGGTGGCACGCGTGTTTGAGATTTAACGAGATTTAACTGTTGCATTCCGTATTCCGAGAACGACGATATCGACAATCGTGAAAAATAGACATTATTAAATTTGCTAATGTTGCGAAAGGGGTTAAATCAATTTCTAAACAGAGATCGAAGACATTAGATCAAGTTGAGAAATGGCTTTTGCTTTGGATAACTGAAAAACAGTGTGCCGGCGACAGCGTATCGGAAGAAATTATTTGCGAAAAAGTTAAAAGGATACATGCTGATCTCATGAAAAATCAAGCAGAAACTAGCAAGGAAAGCGAGGTGTTTAAAGCCAGCCATTTTTTTACATGAGAATGGATTAATCATTTTTACATTACTTCTTATGGAAAAGGTTGGTTTGATATACGTCCTATTCGGTATAAGTCCAAACACCAGGAACGGAATAAGGTCGTATACCGAGGTTCCACTGTATTTATAAATGATCCTCATAGAAATAGGATTTTTTTCCTAATGAATAGTAATGGAAAATGGTTTAAATTTATTATTATTAATGCTGTTAAAGAATGTCAATAATTTTTGAGTCATTCTAAGTATACATATTATTACCTAGATGGTGAACCTTCCAATATCAAAGATGTCAATATTCCAGTTACAGCTGCTATTATAGGAAAGTGATCTATTGTCTCAAGCCCTGGAATTTCCATACTGACAACAAGATAAAAACAACCAGATCTTGATGTAACCCTATTTAGAACTTGGCATACCAACTATATTAATAATAATTTATGTGTAAGTGAAAACAAATAATAATTTGTCAATTTATCTGAAAATTTTATTACCTGAAAGAGACGAGGTAAAAATATTTCTGAAGAAGGTTTTGAAACATCTGTAAATAATTCTGGCACCAAGTGCACTATCATTTCCAATACCCTAAGTAATGCTAATGCTAAATCAAAACAGGTGGCACATATTTTTAATTGACGTGAATCTATAAAAACTCTTTCAGGTCTATTAGATGCATTTTGAATCTGAAAAGAAAATAATATTTACATAAAACTCTAATTTTATTCTTAGTTGTGTTGTTAGATTTTTCTTGTGAGTTGTGAACACTTCAGCATTACAAAACTATACAGTTTGACAACAGCATTACAATATCATGTACTGAAAGAGAATTTTCAGTTGTAAATAATTAAAAATCATTACTTTAATAACACTCAATAAATAGATAGTTTTATTGCTAACTAATTTCAAACTAAAAAAAAAAATTAAGAAACTAACCAAAAATATCAGTTTATTCTCAAAAAATATAATTAACAGAAAATATATTGCAAAGGGTGTAATTTTATGAGGATTTTTCATAACAATCTGTGAATGATTTCAACTAAATTGTGATAAATGATAGAGCACTTTAAGGAGAATATAATAATAGAATATTAAAATTTTTGACCCTCAGTGGAAATTGAGTAATAAAATAAAGTGATTTTCTTTAACATTATATCTAGGGAGAATTTTTTATTTTCAACAATTTATTGGAACCCCTCTCAACCTAGATAATAAAATGAAACTTGGTTAATGAAACAAAGACAACTAGTAGATGTTTTTAAGTGAGGTGAAGTTTCATGCCTGCAAGAGGAAAGTAAAAAATTTGGAGTTTAGAAAGTTCTAGAATGTTCTAGATGGTTTTGGAATGCTTTTAAATAAAAAATAATAAGTTAATGATAAAAAAGAAACCACTATGTGCAATATGAGAATATTGAGAGATATTTTTAATGTTGAGATTCAAGAAATGTCTGATGATAAACATTCTCTTTGAATGAATTTTTGTAATTCATTGCAACATCTCAATAAAATATATTTCTAATGAAAATCAATTGATGTTAATTCAGTTTCTTTCCTATAACCTACAAAACTTTATTATTTTCAACACTAAATTCACCTTACTCTCTTGCAGATGCATGTCCTCATTTATCTAAAAAAACATCCATTAAAATTGTTTTTATTTCATTAACCAATTTCCATTTATCATCTAGGTTGAAAAAAGTCCAAATAAATTTTTGAAAATAAAATATCCTCCATAGACATAATGTTAAAGAAAATCATTATTTATTTTTTTTCCTCTGAGTCAAAAATTCTAATATTCTATAAATAGTTAGTACTATAAGCTCCTCAAAGTGCTCTATCATTTATCACAGTTTACTCAAAATTGGTCTCACGATGTTATGAAAAATCTTTATGAAATGATATTCTTTGTTATAATTAAAAATTATCTACAAATCAGATTTATTTATATGCTTTTTTTTGAAAAAATAGATTAAGAGAAGAAGAAACTATATATTGTACATAACTCTATAGCAAAATACCAAGAATGACAAACTTTAGTGGCATTCAAGAACACGCAGAAAAAACAGGAAGAGACTAGACTTCCTCTGGCATAATCAACATAAATAATTATTTTAACAAATACATGGAATACATAATGAGATTTTTCTCCAACATAATTTCTACAGACTAAAGTCCATAACAAAATCTTCTCAGTACAATATTAAAATCTTTATAAAACAAATATTTTGTTTCAAAGATCAAATAATAAATTCTAACTACTATTTTTCTTGGATGTACCCCTTGTAATCTGTAAAATATACAATATATTTATGATATAAATAAATGTTACTTAATTTGTTTATTTTAACACTAAATTTTTTTTATTTAATGCAAAAATTAGAAAAATCTTGACTTAATATTAGTATATAATTATTGATATTTAAATTTCTTTACAGCTTACAAAACATACTAAAATAAGGTTAAAAAATAAATAAATTCGAAACATTAAAAGCATATGAAATAAGAAAAAACTGGCTGAAAGATACTGAGGGCCATTGGAGATAGAGCTGAAATTTAAAAAAAATTGAATGATAGAGTAAGTCTAAAAACTGTAGAAAACCTATGGATATTAGATACAAGCTGTCAAGAGAATGTTCTTAATGCAAGTATTGGTCATACACTTCTGATTTGTGTGCAAAATTAACTTCATCTAATAATATTGTTTTTAAAAGCATTTACTTGAGATAAATATTTTCAAAATAAAAGTGAATAAATCAATGCATTGCTGTACTCACAAATACCTAAGAGATTTAATTAAGTTTATCAAAAAACCCATATAAAATTTAAAAAATATCACTTTTACAGTAAAAACGTTTTCATGTTTAATTACTATAAATTGCTTTAATAATCAAATCAGTATCAATTAATTACTGTTTAGATATATAAATGTGCTAACTAGGGTTTCTCATTTCCCGGGAAATTTGCCTCCAGCGGGATTACGGGAAAAATAATTTCTTTTCCCGGGATCCCGGGATGAAATAGTAAAATAGAATTTTATATAAATAAAAAAGATCATACAGGAATATCATAAATTTGAATAATTTAATTTATTTTCTAGTAAGTAACTAAAAGTGTAGGGCCAATCTCACCCATACGGACACGTTAGGCTCAATTAATTTATGTTTTCCTACATTATAAGATGAAAGTAAAATAAAGCGTTTCATTGGGAGTTTTAATGATTACGAAGAAAATACTATTTTACTTCTAAAGATGAAATAAAAAATGAACTAAAGTGCGATGAGTGATATTTACTTTCAGTAAGTCTTCCTGTTCAATGATGCGCAAACACAATATATAGATATTACATGAACTAACAAGTAGAGACTTGTAAAACATAGGTAATAATATGCAGCAAGAAACCTCAAAATTTCTCTCTTAGGTGAGT